CATGGTGGCATGCGCCTGTAATCCCAGCTACTCGGGAGGCTGAGGCAGGAGAATCGCTTGAACCCAGGATGCGGAGGTTACAGTGAGTCAAGATTGTGCCACAGCACTCCAGCCTGGGCGACAGTGTGAGACTCCATCTCAAAAAAAAGAGTAGGACAGCCGGATGCAGTGGCTCACACCTGTAATCCCAGCACTTTGGGAGGCTGAGGTAGAGGGATCACTTGAGTTCAAGAGTTTGAGAACAGCCTGGCCAACATGGCGAAATCCCATCTTTACTAAAAATACAAAAATTAGCCAGGCATGGTGGCACATGCCTGTAGTCCCAGCTTCTCAAGAGGCTGAAGCAGGAGAATCGCTTGAACCTGGGAGGCTGAGGCTGCAGTGAACCGAGATTGTGCCACTGCCCTCCAGCCTGGGTGGCAGAGCCATACTCCGTCTCAAAAAAAAAAAAAAGAGAATAGAAGGAGTGTGATCTGTGAGTGTGAGCAACCGACTGAGTGAACTCACTACCTTCTAACCAGCTGAATGATTCCTAACTATGGTGGTGGTTGGATGACTCTGTGTCAAAGACCAAAGAATAGCATGCTAAAAAGTATGAATCTTACTACATGCAAATTAAATCTCGTTTTTTTTTTTTTTTTTTTTTGAGATGGAGTCTCGCTCTGTCACCCAGGCTGGAGTACAGTGGTATGATCTCAGCTCACTGCAAGCTCCGCCTCCCAGGTTCACGCCATTCTCTTGCCTCAGCCTCCCAAGTAGCTGGGACTACAGGTACCCGCCACCACGCCCGGCTAATTTTTTTGTATTTTTAGTAGAGATGGGGTTTCACCGTGTTAGCCAGGATGGTCTTGATCTCCTGACCTCGTGACCCGCCTGCCTCGGCTTCCCAAAGGGCTGGGATTACAGGCGTGAGCCACCACGCCCGGCCTATACCTCAATTTTGAAGACAGAAGGGGATGGGAGGAATACCGCGTGGTTCAAGAACAACATGGCCCTTTCTGCACCTCAGCCTGGGGAACATCCCTCTCTGGACCCAGGAGCCACACCCCCAACCCACTCTGGACCTGGGTGCTCCCAAAGGGTCCTCAACCAATGAGAACAACCAAAACCACCACCACCAATAGAGCACACGCATCCAACCGCATCACCCTCCAGTTCAGTGACTAGAGGAAGGGATGCTACTGTCATCCTGCTCACGGATGAGACCTTGGCTCTGAGACAGGAAGTCACTGGCCCAAGATCCCCAGGTAGAGAATGACCCAGCTGGGATATGACCCCAGGATGTGACCCCAGGTCAGGCCCCTGCCCACCACCTCACACCTACCTTTCTTCACTGAAGGGACCTTCCTGGCCAAGAGGATAGGGAGGGGCACCGTGCCCAGCTGCTCCCCTCCCATCTCGGGACCAGCCTGCTTCTTCCTCCTCCGTCGCCTCTTCAGCTGGTGGGCAGCCAGGGCCAGGGCCACAGTCCCCAGGGCCGTGGCAAAGAGGACTTTCCGCAGGCCGGGCGTCAACCGTAGCTGGGAAAATGCAGACTGCAGGGAAGAGGAGACGCTGCCGGTTACACCTCCCTGGGTCCAAGGCAGCAGGACTGCCCCAGAGCACCTCAGGGACAGGACATACACCGGCCCTTTGGCACATCTGCCAACCAGACGAGAGACTGAGAGGCAGCTGCCCTACACAGGGAACTTGACCAGCCTCCCTGAAACACGGACCACAAAAACGTAAAGATGGCAAGATGCCAGTGCTGAGGAGGTAAGGTCTAAGGGCCAGCACTCTCAGTCATGATGACATGAGCTGCAGTGAGCAAGCACCAGCTGTGCCTGGCACTGCACTAGGTCCTAGCCTGGGGTACCCATCTGAGTCCCTGTCATTTCCAGACGAGGAACCTGAGGCTCACCCAGGTGAAGACACATGCTCAAGGCGACAGAGGCAGACATGAAACCCAGATCTGCTGACCCCTGTTTCTCAGCAGTGCCTCAAAGATGATGACACCCACTCACCCACCACCCCATCTGAACGCTTCCTACTGCTGCACCTCACCCTCTGCCCTCTGGGCCTGGGAGCCCCTCAGGTGGGACTGCAACCCACAGGGCAGATCTTTTGTCAAGAGCCCAGTCAGCCACAAACATGTGAGTTGTCGGGGGGACACTGACCCCTTTTACAGACTGAGTAACTGAGGTCAAGAGTTCATATAGGACCAGGTGCCGTGGCTCATGCCTACAATCCCAGCACTTTAGGAGGCCAAGGTGGGTGGATGACTTGAGCCCAAGAGTTCAAGACCAGCCTGGGCAACATAGCAAGGCCCTATTTCTACCACAAAAAACTTCTGTTGTTGTTGTCGAGACGGAGTCTTACTCTGTTGCCCAGGTTGGACTGCAGTGGTGTGATCTCGGCTCACTGCAACCTCCGCCTCCTGGGTTCAAGTGATCC